ATTAAAATTAAAATTAAGTTTAAGATTACTATGTAGTTTAAGATTAAGATTTAGTTTAAGATTAATATTAAATTTAAGATTAAGATTTGGATTAAAATTAAGATTAATAGTTTGATGCTCCAAATTTGTCAAAAAGAAACACTTGTTATTTCACACAGGTTCACGAGTGTAAGTATGTATTATGGATAAGGAATGGGTACTTGCAATATTTGCCAGCCTTAATTAGGCCATTGATCGCCTTTGTAGAGGATAATAATAGGTCGTGGCGAAAAGCCAATTTACAAAAGTATATCCCGCTCTTTTTTCAGCCTTTTATTCTAACTTTTATTCAGTCTTTAGTTTAAAATACAGTTTAGTAAAAATTAAACTTATTGTTTAACGAAAAAGAATTCAGTTTGCTTGTAGCAAGCGATAACACTAATATTCTTAATACATTAAGTCTACCGGCAAAAGTTAGCTTCCCAAGTGCTAGAAAATCGGGAAGATTACAATGAAGTAATCTTCTCAACGCAGCTAATGGGTGAAGTTCATGAGGATCAGAATGGATTTTGCACTGAATTGGAGTGAGCGCATTTTGCTTACGCTCTTGCATTTTGACACTTTTCAGATTTTAGTCCAAAAAGATAAGGAATGGACCTAATGCTGCATTCCAGCGTTAGCTTTAAATTCCGTTCGAAAAAAGAAAATATTAGAGCTACTATCGTACAAATGTATGCGTCTCTCTCCTAAACCTTCTAATTTGTATATTTTGGTGTTTTTAAATAAAAGTAAATCGACCAAAAAGCTCAGAACAAATAAAAGCAATTCTGGGAGGTCAGCTAAAATGGAGATGGAACTCGCTATATGCTCCCTAAGATCGTTACGCTCGCATAAGCAAAAAATTAATTATCTATGCGAAACATTCCAAATAAATAAGTTTTATGAAAACGAATTCGATTACTTAGATGAGTATATGGAGGCCTTTAGCTGATGCAGTTGATTTTTTGCAAGGTGATAAAAAAATGGCATATGGTTACCTTTTGGCGACGCTCGCAACTATTTTTACAAAGTACAATAATTTAATAAAAGCTAAAAGGCTCTTACATTTTTGGCAAATAGTTTCCCCTTTGACTGACGCGATAAAAGAAAGATTTAAGATTTTCTTCGAACTTAAGGAAGATGTGAGTGATGCTATAACTGCCTCTGCATTATGCCCCGATGTGAAACTTCAATGGGTTAATTCTCTTAATCCAGAATTCAGCGACGCGAAAGTAGCAGAATTGAGCAATATGGTCAGAAAAATTATTTCAACTGAGTGTGCCAAGGATATAATTCCTACAACTGTTAGCATATGTGAACGTGCTAGCTTTTTCGACTTTGGACGCAAAAGTAATTAAGAATTATGTTTAAGTTAGATGCATCAAACATTATAAACTTTCATAACATTATCACAAATGATTTTATTTCTGACGCAATTTTAGATGAAGTCTGCTAATGTAATCAGTCGGTCGCAAAGATAATACTGCAATTATATCTCAGACCCAAGCACTGATATTGAAATGCTTTGCAAGTACATACCCATCATCGAAAAAGTGTTATCTTAAATTCAACACACCACTGCCATCATAAGCGGCAGTTGAAATACTTTTCTCTTCGGCAACGATTTTAAATGCACTTCGACGTGGATCGCTGTCAGATGATAACTTCGAGAAGCTTTTATTGTCAATCCTTTTTAAACTTTGTGCAAACTTTCTCTAAACTTTGTGCCAAACTCAGGAAAATTCAATACATTTACTTCAATTTTGTTGAAAAAACTTTGTATGGAAAAAACTGCGTGAAAAAATTGTCACAATAACGCTATTTTTTAGTAATTTCAAACTCTCACTTTTTTGTATGCTTAGATTTAAAAAATAAATCGGAATAGAAGGTTGCAAATTAGTATGCAAATTTATTGAATTTTCCTGAGTTTTGCACAAAGTTTAGAGATTTTACTTTTATATTTTTTGAAGTAGTATAAACTATATTTTTCCAAAAAATTAGAATGAAAAACCTTGCATATATTGCGAAAAATTCTCTGTGCCAATACTTTTGTTCGTCACTGTACATAGGTGACCAATAATTTAGTTTAATGAATTCGTTGTGTTATTTTGCTTTACTTTAATTTATTTGAAACTAATGCAAATATATACATATGTATGTACATACATATTACCTACATATGTATGTACTGCATACCTCACTCACAATAATAATTCGCATTATTTTTCATATTAACTATTTGTACCAAATTGTATATTAAATTTGACTTGGGTTTTCACAAACACCATATAAATGGAAGTCGTTTCTTTACACAAAAAACCTTTACTTGGGAACACTTCTGAGAGAGTAACAGAACAACTCTTCCTAGTCAGAAGTTACAGGAGTTAGTCCGAAGTTTTTCTTCCTTTTAGCTGTGTTCAATTTGTCAACGGAAACAACAGTGAAACCGAATAAATTTATTAATTTCTTAAAAAAGCGAAATATTTGAGGGCGTATTTCAGACACGAACTGGAGGAGAAGCTCGGCCAAACACTTTGCAAAAGTTTTAACGCCAAAATATTATTATTAGGTATAAATAAATTTAGTTTTAAACAGGTCGCAGCCCTGTTCAAATACCTCAAAATTATTCCCAATATTATCTGTATGAGCCCGAACTTACCATTTTTTACCAGAATTTTCCAGATTTTGCCAGAAATCGTACTCGGTTTTCTGGCAACTGAGAGGACAAATAAGAGAGTAAGTAAGGTCATCTCTTTGACAGAAGCTACAAGTTTTAGTCCGACGAATTTTTGGTGGTATATGTGTGAAACGATCTGATGTAGTGTGTTTGAGAACGAAATTGTAAACAGAATAAAAGTGCACTCTGCTAATGCATGCTGAAAAGGATATAATTACTTGTTTGAGTGGATGCTAATGAATTTTGGTTAAGTTACAAAACGCTTAAAAAGGTGTTAGCCGTTAGACTTTAACACATAACGACCAGTGTTGCCGCGAATCTTTTTAGTGGTAGCCAAATTCCTTAAAAAAAAGGGCAAAAAAAGAGCTAAAAAAAGTCGTTGGGGCTAAAAATGGTAGCTAAAACTTTTTATTTACATATAAATATAAAAGTATACACGGAAACATTTTCAATAAGCAATAGTACCCAACAAGCATTTCAGTAAATGTTTTCAAAAATAACTTAAAGTAAGTTTGCTATAATAAGCGTTAAATAAGCATTTTTAATATTAAGCTTATTAAAAGTTTTTTCAAATAAACCTTTAATAAGTTTTGAGAGCGAATATTTATAATAACTTAAACTTATAAATGAAATGCAAATGCCAACGACATGAAGTAGTAAATATAACATTTTTTCAATCGTAAGTGACGTGTTTACGTTTTTTAAAATATATTATTAAAAGAAAAAATTAAATAAAACCGATGCGGTAAAAAAAATCCAATCCAGGACACGCTTAGCGATCGGTGGAGCATTCGAGTCTTCAAATGATGAGTTCACTTTATCCTTTCTTAGTTTAATATTCAATTAAAATTGTATTAAATTTTTTTTAGAAAAGTTCATCAATGACAATGGCGGCGATGGAGCGGAATATATAGCTGCATCGATGTCGTTTCTCCAATTTGCCAATAACCGCATGTAATTGAAAGCACGTAACAAGATGTAATAATTAACTTTTTTATGCTTAATTTTTGTGTGTTATCATGAATTTGTATGCTAAAATATCTATTCCCTGTTTATATTTTCGAGACTGTACATGAGTCCGCCGAAAATTCGCATTTCTTTTAGTTTCTTGATGTTAAGCAATCTATGTATGAGTTTTTAATGAAATATCTTTAAATAAAGGGTTATAAAAATGTTTATAAAAAACATTGAAAATGAAAATTTTTAGTAAGTTTATATTCATACGCTTATAAACAACTTTTTTTTAACCTTTATTATAAGTTTGCACTTTTACGCTTATAAAAAGCTTTCTTTTGAACATTTATTACAAGTTTATATTTCTACGCTTATAACCAATGTTCCTTTTCGATTATATTACGCTTACTTTCAACCGTTTTATAAACAAAAAATCAACGTTTTGTGAGCTTATGTTTATAATTGAAAACTTAAAAAAAAGTTCCTGGAACTTTCCGAGGAGTATTAGGATCATTTATGATTCGGCCTTTTTTAAAATACAAAAGACTGAAGACTGTAAAAAACATGTTGCCACAAATCAACACATAACTGCGATCTCTGCAGCAAGGGCTTTCGTTGAAGTTTTGCCTGTGGATGTGCAATTACAAAATAGTCACCAGAAACTTATTGAAGAAAATAGAAATATCTTGCATTCAATTATTTCATGCGTATTATTTTGCGGTACACACGATATGCCACTCAGAGGCAAAGAAGGGGATGGGGGCGTTTTAATAGATCTAATAAACATGCGAATCGATTCGGGTGACACTAAATTAAAAAACCATCTAGAAAAATGCCGAAACGCAGTTTACACTTCACCCCAAATTCAAACTGAGTTGATAAAAATATCCGGGGAAGTTATTAAAGCTCTGTTAATATCGGACGTTAAAAAAGCTGATGCTTACGCAGTATTAGCAGATGAAACAGCTGATATAGCTGGGAAAGAGCAGCTTTCAAATGGCTTACGCTTTTATGACAAAGCTATGGGAAAAATAAGAGAAGAATTTGTTGGGTTTGCAGAGCTTTCATTACAAGACGCTTCTACCATTGCCAGGGAAATAGACAATTTTTT